TGCATCCCTTCCTGACTCCATGTTTAGTGGTGTCACATTTCTAGCTTGAAATAGGTCACGGTGGGAGTATTTACACCACTGGAAATTGGCAAATGCTACAAATCAGGTGCCCCCATCAGAGCCATCTGTTAAACATTACCAACACACTACTCCTTTAATTCATTTGTCAAATGCTTTGGCTAGTTAATTGTAGGGCATCCGAAAGCCTGAAGCTATGGGGATAGTTGATAGTGCAGCTTCTGGAATCAGACTCCCCAGATATGAATTCACCCTTCACTAGTTATTCACTGCGTGACGCTGGGAAAATTAGTAACCCTTTTGTAAAATGAAGATAAAAGACTATTTGTAAAATGAAGATAAAAGAAAAACTACCTACTCCATGTATGGCTTTGAAGCTTTAAAAGTTTACAACCTATACCATATCAGAATAAACAATACCTAACACATGATATATATTCTAATAAACTTATTTTGGATAAATTTTTAAATTATGACATGGAAGCCCCTTTCTAGTACTATTTTATAATACCTTCTAGTACTAACTTTTACTAAGGAATTTTAGAAATCAGGTATCACTGTTGAATTCTATCAAATGCTTTAACATCTCGTTGATTAGAATCTTCTCATCATTGACATATTAATACAGTAGTTACAGTACTGAATTCCTAATGTAAACAGAACTTTAAATCACTGGAATGGATTTTGCTTGATCATGGTGTATTATTCTTTGAATGCACTGATGAATTTCACTTGCTAATAACTTATTTTGCCTATTTCATCATTATTAATAAATTATCTTCATTACAGTTTTCTTTTGAATACTTTTTCAGGTTTTGATATCAATGGTCTGATAACTTTGTAAAAAATAATCAGGAAGCCATTATTTTTTCTGTTCTTATGAGTAGTTTGGCCTTCAAAAATAATCTGGTTGTTACAAGATTAGAAAGAACTCACTTATGGAACTATCAGGGCCCGGAGCTATTTGGGGCGTAGCTCTGTCAACTTTCTCTATTTCAGTAGTTTTCAAATGTGGCCACACATTGGAATCACCTGGGAAGATTTTTAAAACACTGGTGACTGAGACCCTCTCAATACATTCTGCTTTATATAGTCTGGTATGCAGCCTGGGCATGGGGACATTTAAAAACTCTTCAAGTGACTGTAATGTGAAGCCAAGATTCAGAACTACTGCATTTCATTCAGGATGTTAGTTTAATTTGGTTTCTATATTTTCTTTAATGAATTTTACTGATTTATATATACCTAGAAAGTTATCTTTTCCTCCAGACTTTCAATTGATTGTCATAGTGTTTTGCAAAGTACTATTGCATAAGTTGTTTTTCTTTGTGGCTGTGATTATTTCAACTTTTCAGTTTCTAATTTGTATATTTGTACTTTCTTCCCCCCACTGCATTTTGGTTGTTGCTATTATATAAAGAATGGTTTGTCTATTTTATTGGCTTTTTTAAAGGACCAATTCTTGAATTTTTTTATTAACTCTACTTTTTTATGGTTTTGTATTTAATAATTTCACCCTTGATCTTTCCATATATTCCCTTTCTGGTCTTCCTTAAGATAATTTTGTTTATATGTTTCTAACCTCTTGAGCTATTTCATTTTGTTTCATTTCACTTATTTATCTTTATTCCTTTCTCTTAAGTAATACAAGTATTTCAGGCTATTAACTTTTCCTTTAACAAATATCTATGTATGTATTTATTAATATATGCTACTTTTATTATCAGTGTTTTTTTTAGCTACTCTGTAATTACTATTTTGATTTCCTGTTTGATCGAAGAGTTGTATTTAGAGGGTTTTTTATTTTTCAGTTTTCAAGTCAGTGTGGTGTTTTTCCTAATCATGTTTAGGTTTATTGTCACAAAATCCTGTCTTGAATTAGTTGGACAATTCTTCTAAAACATCTGCTTGACCTTATTGAGCATGTGTAATACTAATCACTTAAAAAGGAAAAGCAACTGATATAATAAATTTAATAAACAGAAAAGGAAATGGCACTTGCTATTCCATCTCAGAAGGCTGATCTCTTAGGTTGAGTCCTCTTGGGAAAGAAGTACTTAAAACTCTCCACATCAGAATCCCAGGTGTGTGATCAGGACTAAGGCCTTTTTCATTGCTTCCTTTACGTTCTCCTGTCTATCAAAAGCAAGTCCACTCTAAAGTCATAACATTTAGCAAGAACGAGCATGCTTTTTCTGTAAAGGGCCAGATAGTAAATATTTTAGTTTTATTAAAATTGCATGGAACATATTTGTAATAAAAAATTATTCATTGTCTAGAAATCACATTTAACTAGGCATCTGATATTTTTATTTGCTAAATCTGACATCCCTATTTGCAGGCTAGATGGTTTCTGGCAACTACTCAACTCTGCCTTTGTAGAGGGAAAAATCACAGACAGTACATTAGCAAATGAGTGTGACTGTGTGTCAATTAAATTCTATTTATAAAAAGAGCTAATGGCCTATATTTGGCTTAAGAGCCGTAGTTCGTCCACACCTGCATTAAACCAGTAGTTTTCAACTTTTAATGTGCATCAGAATCATATGGAGGGCTTCTTAAAACACTGATTGTTAGACCTCATCCCCAGAGTTTATGATTCTCTGGATCTGGTTGAAGCCAAATAATTTGCATTTCTATCAGGTTTCCAGATGCTGCTGCTGCTGATCTATGGACCACAGTTTGAGTACCACTGCATTAAAAGAAATGCTTATTGCCTTTTTATTCCTAAAACCCACTCAGTGGAACTTAGGCTTATTTATTATTATTTATTCAAAGACTTCATCAATCTTATGAAAAAAAAATTAAGTGGTGAAATTTAAATATTCTCTTGGCCAGATCTTTCTAACATGTGTGGTACATTTGGGTTAATTTTAAAAAGTCACTCCCTCTCAGGGAAGAATTAGGATAAAGGTGCCACTCCTATGAACTCACACAGGCCCTCACCAAGGTCCACAACTTGGTAAGTTGAACAAAGACTGGACTTTAGCATCCACTCTTTCCTTCACGAGCCTTTATGCAGTGCACAAATGCACAACACTCCTGGCAACCCTTCTAATCAAAAGAATGTCATTTGCAACTTATTTATCAAACCAATACATTCTAAATCTAGTATTCAGTAAGAGTTTACTTTCTTTTCTTGAAATTAAAAAAAAAAAAAGCTAACTCCATTAACTATATTCTTTTTTTTTCTACTTTGATTTGACAGGCTTTTTTTTTTTCCAACTTTATGATATTTAAAGTATGTAATATGATGATAAACAGTATTCTTGAGGAAAATTCCATACACAGACTAATACCTGTGTGCTCTCACCTTCAGAGGAGAAAATAAACAGAATTTTAAGAAATCTCCTCTATGTGGAAATTTTAGAATTTTAATGCCTTATTATAGTGTAGTGAATACGGTCTGAACTCTTTTGGATCTTTGGAATTCATTTAAGATTTTTTTTATACTATAATATACCAGTAATATGTTGCAAGTGTTCCATGACCCTTCAAAAAAGTACATTCCCTCTATGGAGGCAACAGAGTTTTAAATATATCTGCTTATAAATGTATACTTTTAAATTAATATTATCCGTATGATGTATGGACTTTCGACTCTTACTTATCCCCCTGATCTAATGTCTTGGGATATAGTATAATCTCCATGAAGCTAGGGAGGAAGTTCTCATGAATGATTTTATATCCTTGACACCTAATTCAATATATAGAACATAGTAGGCATTTGTTTCTTCAATGAATAAACCATTTTTGGCTGTAAAGTGGAGCACAATTGTTCCCAGTTCCCCATACAAATGAAGAATGAATTTTTATCCTTTTTACTTTCTCTCTATTGGAGTTGTAGCAGATCCCCCAACCTGGAATCAGCTATAACTGCTGCATTTCTTCTTGAAGATATACTCCTTTCTCCCCTTAACTTAAGTTCCTGTGGAAGATTCTACTCAGGCCTTGTGTTAGTCTTAAAAGCTCTTAAAATATAAACAAAGAAAAACAACTACTGAAAAGATATGAACTAAAATAGAGATGTGGTTTCTCTTTGGTTGATTCTTTTTATTTATTTTTGGTTTTGTTTTTTGGTAATTTCTAGATGTTCTATAATAAGCAAGCATTACATTTATAGTTAAAAGAATAAAGTTTATAATTAGAAATAATTAGAAATACCATTTTTCTCTGGTATTTCAACTCTCTGGTTCAAGTTTAATTATTGAGGTTACACAGAAAATGTAACTTCTCTCTTCTAGATGAAAAACCAATTAACAGTTAAAGGGACCTCTCCTTTTTTTTTTCAGATTCCACATATAATTAATACCATATATCATATAGTATTTTTCTTTCTGTTTCTGTCTTACTTCACTTAGTATGATGATCTACAGGTCCATCCATGTTGCTACAAATGGCATTATTTTGTTTTTTTATGGCTGAGTAGTATTGCATTGTATATATACCACAACTTCTTTATCCAATTATCTGTCATTGGACATTTAGGTTACTTCTATATCTTGGTTATTGTTAATAGTGGTGCTATGAACAATTTAAAATATTAGCTATTTTAATATAAATAAATAAATACATAAATAAATAAATAAATAATAAAGGGCCCTCTCAGATTCTCCCTAAGTCTTCCCTTTAAAGTTTTCCTCAAGTCTTTGTCACGTGGTTCCTAGATCCTTCACCATTTTGTTTGTCTCTGAACATAATCCCATTGGTGGATAATCATTCAAAATAAACGTCCCAGAGCTGGATACAGAATTTCAGGTACAGCCTGATTCACACAAAGTGCAATAGAATCTCCCTTGGTGTATAATGTGGTTCTATCATTGCAGCCCACAACAGCACTGGCATTTTCAATGCCCATGACACTTCTGACTCGCATGGAGTTTACTGAAATTCCCATCTCTTTCACCCATTTACCCTTAGTCTATTTTTATAAAGTGGGTAAAAACTATACATAACTATCTTATCTGTGCTTTTCCTGTCCTCCTCCTCAAGCAGGCCGCAGATGATGGACCTAAGAAATGAGAGCACAGTGACAGAGTTTATCCTCGTGGGCTTTGAGCAGAGCTCCCTTTCCACAAGTGCATTGCTCTTTGCCCTCTTCCTAGCCCTCTACAGCCTTGCCGTGGCCATGAACGGCTTCATCATCTTCATCACCTGGACAGACCCCAGGCTCAACAGCCCCATGTACTTCTTCCTTGGCCACCTCTCCTTTCTGGATGTCTGCTTCATCACCACCACCATCCCACAGATGCTGATCCACCTGGTGGTCAAGAATCACACTATCACCTTTGCCTCCTGCTTAACCCAGATGTATCTGGTTTTTGGAGTGGGTGTGGCTGAGTGCATTCTCTTGGCTTTCATGGCCTATGACCGTTTCGTTGCTATCTGCCACCCACTTAGCTATGCCCAGATCATGAGCCAGCAGGTCTGTGTGAGACTGGTGAGTACTGCCTGGTTCTTCGGGCTGATCAATGGCATCCTGCCTGAGTGTATGTCATTCTGGAATCCCTTCTGCAGAGACAACCATGTAGAAAACTTCCGTGAGGCCCCCATAGTGATCG